ACAGAGATGCAGCTCCGCTTTCCCCACGTGAGGACGTCCTGTGTGTCTGCGCGGCGCCTGTCACATAACAGAGATACAATAGTTGTTTACCTAGTCGATCAAAAGGACAAACTAGAGGACTCCCTTCTCCCCTGGTGAACGGGACCCTGAGCTGCAGAATCGGGAAAAAGACAGAGGGGTGTCAGCTCGAGTACGAAAGTCTCTTTTTCCTGAAAGCTCCCCGGGATGGCTTTTAGCTCAGACCCTTGACACTGCAGGGGCAGGTCCGCTCAGGGTCAGGGTGGATTTCACTCACACTAGGGAAGGTGGGGGAAGGACAGTGGCCACGGGGTCTCAGGGACAGGACTCCGAGCTGTGTGCCATATATAGGGTCCTGCTTCCCCCCAGGCCCTGGACCCCTTCCCCTGGGCAGCAAAGAAGAGGGGGCAGCACTCACCTCCTGAAAGTCTGAGGTCTCTGGGTCTCTGGCTGCTGGGCCCTAGGGGCAGCTCTTATATTGGGATTTTTGGGGAAGTGGGAAGAGGCAAGAATGATTGCCCCAGGCTGCGGTGCTGGGCAGTGGAGCTAACAAAGGTTTGCTCAGCCCTCTCATTCCTGAGCCCTGCTCTCTGCTGGGACTTTAGGGACCTGCCTCCTGGGGCCTACTGCCACCTGCGATGCCCGAACACCTGGAGTGCTGGAGAAGTCCCAGAGGTCTACTGTCCACACATGCTTACTATCAGCCCCTAAAGTGCCCCGGTCTGAACAATATCCCTTAACCCCAGGAGCTGCCTTCCTCTGGTGCAAAATCGGGAAAAAGAGGGGTGTCAGCTCGAGTACGAAAGTCTCTTACTATCAGCCCCTAAAGTGCCCTGGTCTGAGCAATATCCCTTAACCCCAGGAGCTGCCTTCCTCTGGTCAATGTCCCAGCAAAGGAAGTGGAGGGTCTCAGGGAGCTGGGAGGCCCCCCGGGGAGGAGGGAGAAGGCAAAGGGAGCCTCGGCTTCTGCTGAGCACTTCTCTAGACCAGGCCCTGTATACACACCCCGTCTCTGAATCCTCAGCTTCGCCTCATTCCCATGAGAATGTATGATTCCCCCCACTTCACGGGCATGAAAAATGAGACCGAGAAAGGGAAAGCCACTTGTGGAGATTGCACAAGAAGTGGGGGAGCTGGGATTTCTGAGTCTTTTTGTCTCCAAAACCTACTTATTCTCTCTCTCTCCCCCTCCCCACCCTGCCCCTTCGCCCTTCCCCCTCCCTCCCTCCCTCCCTCTGCCTCCTCTCTCTCATTCCTCTCTCTCATTTTTCTTCCCCCTCTTCCTCTTTTTCTCATCTTTAATGTGTGAAAAACGTAAGCTCCTTCTTCTAGATCAAGGCTCTCAGCGTGCGCCCTGTTACTCTTTAGAACCGAATAATTCTTCGTTGGGGGTTGGGAGGGCGAGCGACCTGTGCGTTGCAGACAGTTTAGCAGCTTCCTTACTCCCGGTCAGTAGGGCCTCCCCCAGTCAACCTCATTGTCCCCCAGAGACCATTCAAAAATGTCTCCACACATTTCCAAATGCCCTCTGGGGAGCACAGTTGCCCCAGCTGAGGATCCTTGATCTAGGGTATGCCATTTAGTCCGATCTCAAGACATATCTTCTGGCAAGGGAGCAACAGCTGGAATGGAAAGCTTCATGCGGAATGATTCCGTCACTCTGCAGGCCACCCTCCTCCTCCCTCCTCATTCCCCATCTTCCACCCTCTTTCGTCCATCACCCACGTCGGGACGAGCAGGGAGTGAAGGTGGCACTAAAGCATTCAGGAGTCAAGATAAATAATATTCTAATGCAACCTTTCTTTAAAATCAAAATAAATGCAAAAAAATAAAAACAATAATCCATGATGAACAAAAGATTGACAACTTTAACCAACCAAGCTCTGGCCAAATTTATTGCAATCCAAAGACAGACCAGCAGGTGCTGAGACCCGGCTTTGTGGGGTAGCACCGCCAAGAACAGAGCGGACTTGTCAGAGTAGGTGACTCGGCTCAGTGACATCCTTGCTGGGCAGTGCACGTTTGTTCCTCGGACTCCAACCCAACCATCCAGTGTTCAGGGCACTGGGGACAGGTAGCCCAGAGAGTGAAAAGACTTGGATTCCTTTTCTTCCTCTTTTCTCCCAGGGGAACCTACAAAAAGAGAAGTCACTGAGAGGTCACTTCTAGGCCCGAGTACGGAGTAACGGTCTTGGCCGTTATCTCTCTGGCTCAACAGACTGGACCCTCAGCTTATCTAACTGACTTGGGGTGGGGAGGGATTGGCCAATCCCAAGGCCCAAACACCTGGTCTCAGATTTCAAGTTTGAGACCTTCTTTACAGGGGAAGGATGAAGGCTAGACCCCCTTCCCATCAATCTCCCCCATCCTGGGGCCCAGGTCAGAGGCATCCTGTCGCTCAGTGGTTGGGATGACCAATAAGGTGAGCTGTTCTCAGGAGCCAGCAGCACAAGAAGCGTTCCATGCCGTTTCATTTGAACAGCCCTGTTTTACGGATGGAGAAACGGCATCTCAGGGCACTTAAACAAGTTGCCCGAGATCACGCAGCAAGTCAGAGGTAGACCTCCACCTAGGTCTCCCAGCTCCTCATCCACCCCAAGCTGCCTTCCCTCTGCCTCCTGGCACTGACCGCCCTTCTCTGCAGCCTGCTTCCTCCCCACGTTGACCCTGTTTTCAAAGCCCAGGCAAAGATATTCCAATGGCTGCAATGACCACAGTAAGGTCTTATTTAAAAGTGGAAATAACGTTTTGGAAGGTCTACCGCAGACCAAACACTGTGCTTCGCTGAGGCTCTTACATCCGTTATCCCACTTACTCAGTCTTTATAATCATCCTACACATTAGGTATTGTCATCTCTAGTCTATGTATCTACTACGGAAGCTCAGAGAGGACAAATGACTTGACCAAGTTCATATGCCTAGTGAGACGTGGTAAATCTGACCCTAGTCCGACTCCTATGTCCTTGCATCCTTAATGCGCTTGAATGTGTTACCCCCGGCCAGTCTAGCCAACGAGCGCCAATGTCTTCAGCATCTGGGAAACTCCCAAGTCTCTGGCTTACTGTTTGCCTTTATGTCCATAGGGGTTTCAAACTCTGCCTCTTGTCTCAAGAGTCAGTCCAGCCCCACACCCTGCAGAGGGTATGTCTCGCCATCTCAAGAGGCAGGTGGTGTGATGCGTAGTGAAAAGACAAGTCCCCGAGTCGGCCCCTCCGTGCCTCCGTTTTCTCATCTGTAAACTGAAGCTGATGACAGCGTCTACCTCTAACGAGAGCAACCCCAGCCATGCTCTCGGAACAGCGCCTGGCACGCGGGGCGGGGGGGTGGACTTGCTGAGAAACCAGGACCAGGACTGGACCTGCGACCCTCATAAGCAAATAAGCACCGTCGATGGTGCTTCTGCTCTGCGTGAGGACCCCCGGGCTCCCGAGCGTGGCTTCACAGGGCTTAGTCAGCATCTCGTTCGAGAGGAGAGACAACACACACGAGCCTCGATTTGGGGATGTCAGGCCAGTCCTATTATCTCATTAACGTTTAACCTTTTCTTGTGGCTGCGTCCACGTAGCTGCTGAGATCGAGATCCAGACCATGCCCAGGAGCCCAGGAGTCCTTCTCGTGCCTCTTTCTCGACATCAGTGCCCCAACAGAAGCTGTATGAGGAACCAGACAAAGTCCCCCCACCACTTAGCACAGAACCTGGCACCTAGCAAATGCTTAGTAACTGGATCATATTCTTTATCAGACATATCTGATTAAAGGGAAGTCATGCCCCCCATGTCAGGATAGAAGGTGCAGGAGGGCAAGATAACCTGGCACCTAGCAAATGCTTAGTAAATGGATCATATTCTTTATATCATACATATCTGATTAAAGGGAAGTCATGCCCCCATGTCAGGATAGAAGGTGCAGGAGGGCAAGGAGCGAAAGCTGGACTTCAGCTGCACCCTCCTCTGCAGCATGCAGCACAGGGCCGAACCCCCAAGAGCATTTCAGAATTCCACCTCTCTGAAATCAACAGACGGCCAAGCAACGGCAGTTACGCTGCGCCTCAGTTTGATTTCTATCTCTTTCTCAACTTGCTGTGCAACCTGGAGCAAGTAACTTCTCCTATCTGGGACACGCTCAAAAAAATTCAAGTTCTCGATCTGCCTCGAACGCCCCAGTCCCGTCTGTAATTCTCTGAATTTGAAGAGTCCCAGAGGAAAAGGGCCTCGGGCACTGACTCCTGACTTCCTGCTCACCTCTTTAGTGGAGAGAGGGTTGGAACGACTTCCTTCGTCGCCTCCTCCGACAGGGACTCTCTCATCTCGAGCTGGGTTGGAGTTCTGTGCCCCAAGACCAACCCAAGGGTTAGGGGGAGTTTGTCTTGCCTCCCCACTGTCCTCCCTCCCTAGGTCATCTTGTCCTGGAAAAGGAATCTTAACGGTTACAAAAACAACACTCTGGAAACACAGGAGGGGCTCAAACCCTGTTTGCCCAGTAAGTGAATGAATGACAGACGAAAACACGTCTTCTTTAAGATCGAGCT